CGACGCGACCGGACTCACGCCCGCGTTCGCCAATTACGGGCGCGAACTGTCACCACCGCATCCCGAAGATCGAACACACCCGCCTGTACCGATTCCGACGACAGCCTGGCGGCGCCACCTGGACGAGGCCCGGGAGCTAATTACTGTCAATCTCGCCAGAGCTTTTCAGAGGCAAGAGCCGTATTACAATATGCGGCGACGGGATTGGCGGCCGAAGATCGGCGCGACAGTGTGGCGCAGAGAACACCCTCTGTCAAACAAGGCCGCAGGCGTGAACGCCAAACTCGCGCCAAAATAACGCCGGTCCGTACGTAATAGGCCGAATCGTCACCCCCGTTATCTACGATTTAAAAGATAAGAGGGGACGATGGCTTAAGCACATACATGTGCAGGACCTGAAGCCAGGGAATGGGGAAGATGCCCCTACCAAATAGGCTGACCAGACCACCGTGACGGGGATGCTAGAATATAAGGAGCGTTTCTGAGAATCTCGGCCTAGAAATCTAGAACTCGTTCACGATGGCTAACTCGTGGAACATCCTCGATGAGATCGAGATCTTGCTGGCCGACGAGCCAGCACCGAAACCAGCGCCGAAGCCTGCTCCGAAGCCGTCACCACCGGCACGCGTGATCCCCAAGGTGGGGACCACGATCCAGCGATCCGACCGGCAGCAGCAGAGGAAGGCTGCTTTCTTGGCCTCGCCACCGCCGCCACCACCCAAGGGGCGGAAACGAGAGCCACCAGACCCCGCGTGCACCATCACGCACACGGCGCCGCAGGAACGTAGGCCGACCAGACCGGCGGCCATGCCGACCACCGCACCGCCGGGACCAGCCGTTACCAGCAGACGGCCATCTTGGGCCGTTGAAACTCGGCCGTCAACGGCCGCCGCCGCACCGCCGACATCACCAGCCGCCGCACGACGGCCGCTACCAGCCGCTGCACGGCCGCCACCAGCCGTAGCACGGCCGCCACCAGCAACTACCAGGCCACCGCCAGCAGCTACCAGGCCACCACCAGCCGCCGCACCACCTGCGCCACCAGCAGGAAGGGCACCGGATCCGCCACCTT